ATAATTCTTTTACAAGTAAAATTTGAAATCGTTCTCGTTATTATTAAATGTACAGCCATGTTTTTTATTTTTAAATATATTTACAAATCAATACTATGCAACGGAAAGATATATAATATTATTTAAGTTAAATTTAATTATCGTGTTCAGTTTGTTTCTAAAAATGTTGTCCAAATGTATTAATTAGCCAGCAAATTAGATTCCCATATCAGACCATATGCTATTTGTAAAAAACAAAAGCTAAAAAAACAATGGCAATCCGTTTAGAGTTTTATAAATATACACGTTTCTACTTTCTCAACAGGATTAAAGAACAATAGGTTTAAAATGTATGCATCATCATGAATTTCTAATATTGACGCAACTCACTTCCGAAAACATTTCGAATTCTTGAACATTTTGTTCGAATCGATGAACATTGTGTTAGAATTTATGAACATTTTGTAAGAATTATGAACATTTTGTAAGAATTATGATCATTTTGTTAAAATTTCTGAACATTTTGTTTGAATTTATGAACGTTTTGTTAACATTTATGAACTTTTGTTAGTATTTATGAACATTATATAAGAATTTATGAACATTTTGTTAATATTTATGAACATCTCGCAAATTTTATGTTTCTAACATTATGCTCTTGATTTTGAACAAATGATCGTAATTTCAAAATGTGCCGGTAGGTTCTATATTTCTAACTTGGGTTATCTAAATCTTTTAACATTATCTGTATAATAAATTAAAGCTCATTTATATGTTCGCTTAGCTGGCCAAACGGCTGAACCAAATTGGCTGACATTTATTTTGGGAACCCAAGGGTACCACGGGTTGACTATAGGCAAAAATAATTATGGAATTTTTAAAATTTCACAGGCACTGCTAAAATCATGATTTAAGACCAAGCGCGGGTAAACTGCAGGAGTAACTTACCTGGGCAACGCCAGGCAATTCAGCTAATTATGCTTATTTACGCAACATTTGCTAGTTTTGCTCATTAATGTACATATATCTATTAAATTTATCCATCCACGTTTTAACTTTATCTATTCCAACTTTTATTTGTTTATATTTCCATCTATCTGATTATCTAATCTAAGCAGTAGTAGCATACTGCATACAATATATAATTACACAATGTTATAGAATTATTGTAATAATGATAATACTAATATATTCAGGACAATAACATTAAACTCATACTGTGTACATTTATGAACAGAAACATTAAACTTGTACCTGCACAGTACACACCTGTGTTCGTGTGCATATGTGCAACTGCACATTGTGGAATCAAATGTGTGCACATGTATTAAGTTACAACTGAGCCCGAAATTTAAAAGAGTATCGTTGAACGAAACTCCCGAGTTTCCTTTTTGGGGTCTTGGCAATTGTGTAGATTTTGATTTAAGAAATTTTAAAAAATGAAGAATATGAAGAAACTTAATAAAATAATATTTCACAACAAAAATATTGATATCCACAAAACTGCCTAACCCCATTCTTGAAACCCGGGTTTCAAAACTGGTTTTCATAACGATACCCTGTCTTAAGTTTTGGGCTCTGTAAAGCTGCACACTTTGAACCTACATGTATACAAACGATAGTGTGCACTTAAGCAATTGCACAAGCCTACATGTACACAATACAAATGTGTTCCTCAAGCACCTGTACAGTACTATACTTAGTATTTTGTAGAAAATCACATCTGCCTAACTAGTTCCTGTACAAATGTGTACATATGAGATATTACTATGTACAATTACTATTGTAATTTTTATGAATTTTGACTCCCATGATTATTAATGCTTGTGAAAGAAATGGAAAGTTGTTTGTGATGAAAATTAATTTGATTTTATTTTCCTTATTAATATTACAATAGATTATAATTTATAAAAGAACGTAGTAATTAGAAACAATGAAAGTAAATAAAAGGATTAAAAAAGGGAGTATATAGCACACGCCGAACTTACTATTTTTAAACATGTTACAGTAAGAATCAGAAAACTGTGGAATAGGAAGACGACATTAAAGTAATAGTTAAGTTTATTTGATGTTACAAAGCAAATAGTTTACTAAACTTATTAAATCACGTATTAAATGAAATGAGTCTGCTTACACTGCACAGTTTACAGTGTCTCATGTTCATTAAACTATTTTGAGTATTTAACTTGAGACTAAAGGTCGTCTTCCTATTCCAGAGAATTATGGCTATAATTGTATATTTATCTGAATACGGGTGAATAAACAGGATCTTCATATGTCCCAAAAAAAAATATGAATTTTCATCATTAATGCTCAGTTTTTAGTCGGAAAAGTCATACAAAAGGAATTAAAAAACAATAAACCAAAACTGTAAAGTACGAGAGAAAAGTAATTATGATAAAATATATATTTATTCTCTATTCTCATTCATGGTTCATAGAATCCTATTCTACAAGTAGGAATATCTGTATTAGTTCATACACTTTCACTAGTAACGGTATCCGAGAGAAACCCCCCCCATCTTCGGTGTTAAACGATGCGTCATGACGCAGCAGGATTATTTTCATGTTTGAGGCAATATTTGATGAGTTTGATCCTGGAAAAAAATAATAATAAGAATTAAAAGAAAGGAATTGAGTCTTTGTCACAAACTATAAATAGAATCATAAGCTGTCCTTTACTCGGGTGAATTTTTTTTTTATTTTTTTACTGAGTACAATTTTGTAATTGTCTTCCATCAATACTAAATTACATTCCTGCTGTGGCTTGTAACTCTGTACATCACTGTACACCCAGCACACAACGGGTTAAAATAGCATTCTTCTATCCAGCAAATATTCAATAGAACTTTTCCGAAGTGTTAGTCTAGTGTAAGCACCCCTCTGAGCTTGTAAGCTTAGTATGTTTGTAGCTCCTTATATGTAAGCTTCAATTTTAAGGATGATTTTAATAGTAATATTCCCACATAACTTTAATCAAATGAATGTTCAAACTTATTTGAATATACATTTAAAATTTATAATGTTTATTTTATATTAGTTAAAAAACGAATTAAGAATTACAAAAATAATATACTGTACTTTAAATGCTGTACACTCAAGAAAATCTCTAGCTGTTGTACTGTACTGCATTATCTACAGCTGAACACAAAAAAAGACATTTTTATAAGTTTGCATTGGGAAAAAATATGTTTATAAAAAGTTTTGTATCTATGAGTAAAACTGTTATCTTTTTTCCGAAACTCTTTTGTTAAAATGCCATGTGAAATTACATGGGATGGTGAATTGCGTAAGAGCTTAATATTTCTATAAATAAATCAAATTCCGTAATATATCTAGTTTTTGTCAGTTATACTGCAACTAAAGAGAAATCAAAAAACCTGATTATTTCATACAGCATGCATTGTTTAAAAATGTTCATTTGTGGTTTTTAGAATTTTTAATAAACATATTCAAGCTCTAAGAGAATTATTATTTTGCTACAATTAAATCATTTCTCGCATTTCGGACAAACATTCTCCTTTTACATTAATTCAGCTGAATAAAAGTGATTATTAAGTTTGTAATGATCTTTTACTATAAGTATTAAATTACACAAAAAAGCACACTGAAGACTCGGAAATGGATTAATAAGAAAGGAACAGAAACGAGAGAGAAGTATTCAATTTGTGTTTCATTTTTTTCATTTAATTCGCAATGATTTTTAAAAGTGAAAGAAATCGTCCGCATTGTGTGTATGACAAAAATTTAAATATTTGGCACACAACCTTGAATTTCAAAACAACTTCCTAAATAAAAGGATAGAAAAATTTTGGAAAAATGAATTAAGATTTTCTCAAAGGAAAAAGTTTTCTCCAAAACAATTATGTTTTATTACAATTTTGGTTGTTAAATATTTAATAATTCTAGATTCTTTTTGCAAAGCTAAATTAGCAGAAACCGCATACCTTCAACCTCAGCCTGTAATGTTCTCACAAGATTGTTCATGTTTTCTCTCTGTAATTCACGTCATATTAAAGTAAATTGCATAAAAATCTGAAATGTTTTCAATCATAACTTATTTTATTAAAGTGTTATTTAGAAGAACAAAAATATTTTAAATTTCTTGTATTTATGTTGTAAAAACTAGAAGAGCTGCGATCACAAAGTCAGACTAGAAATGTTGTATAGTTTTGACATACTCCTTCTGTCTACATGGTTCACAGTGATTTCATTTTAAATCAGAGACATAAAAATTAAAAACTGTTTTTAAAACTTTTTATTCATTATCTCACACAATAGTCAATTCACATTAAACTTTATGAATTAAAGAATGAAAATGAAATAAAAATTTAAATCTAAATAATTTTCTTGCGTAGGAATATCTATTAAAAATTTGTATTAACATTTAAACTCTGGGTTGCAAAGATATACGAATCAGAAAATCTGAGTTTGACGCAAAGACTAATTTCTTTAAAAATATACAGCTTTAAGGTATCAATAGTTTGACTAGAATATATGTAAAAATATTATAATTAATTTTTAAACCATCGTGACATATTGGTTTTTAGTATTAATCGTGAAAAAAGAGATTTGTTTACAACAACAGGTGTTGAAAATTTTAAAGCCTGCGGCGACTCGTGTATTTTTCTCTGTTCATTATTTATAGAAAAAATAAAGTGCTTTATCACAAATGATCATATAAAAATAGTTATACTAGTTAATTTACTAGTCGACTGCATTATATCTCCAATGATTTACAAGAGTAGGACAACAGTATAAAAAACCATTGATAGTGTCTTTCAGGGACGAATTCATGAAATCCATGGGAGAGTCTTAAACTTTTTCAAATTATGAGGGTGGGGGGCCCGTGGGGGAGAAATCCCCCAGGAAATTATAGTTTTTTTCTTTTTCATGGGGCTAAGCCTCATATGCACCCCCCCCCTTGAACGCCCCTGGACTCTCTCTCTCCAATGAATTGATTAAAATATGATTAATTCCGTAAAAAAAAACATTTTATTATAAAGATGTTTGTTTGTTTAGGTTTGTCCAGCTGTGGATTCCCTGGTGCCCCTGCCCACAGTACAGTACAATTTACCGAGCCAGGAGCTTCCCAGACCGTCTCGACCGGGGCTATAGCAGAGTACACGTGTGACCGGGGTTTCGAACTCCTTGGCCCGGCACGCCGGGTGTGCGGGGAGAATGGTACATGGTCACCTCAAGGAATACCATTCTGTGGTAAGTTATCAATTTTCATGAATTTAGTAACTTTTTCACCATTTTGTAGACAATTTTATACTATGCTTTTAAAGAGATTATTGTGTTGCTTATTTTACGAGTTCTTTAAATTCTTAATAGAGTTTGTTTAGACTTTAAAAATAAGTATACAAAATCACATAGATATAGTTATATGATATATGCTACGCTTAATATTGAGAATGTTTAAGAATATTCCTTAACAGATGCCGATATATGTTCAATTGAAAAAATATTACAAAGCACATTGCAAAAGATCTATAGAATCATATTTTACGATCAATACTAATTTTCTTTCTGCTTTTTTGTTAAAAATGAAAAAAGTTTCTCCATAAAATGTGTGTAAAATCTCCAAGGTTTGTCACGCTGTATACCTTGAATATATATGAAGGAGTTCAACCAGAAAATGTCAGTCCTTCAAATCAGAATATTTGGTCTTTTTAGTCAAATTTATCATATCCTTGTTCCTTGTTTCTTAATATTCATAACCCTTGATTCTTGATTCCTAGTTCCTGGTTCCTGGTTCCTGGTTTCTTAATATTCATAACCCTTGATTCCTGGTTCTTGGTTCCTGTTTCCTCGTTCCTGGTTCCTGGTTCCTTCAAATCAAAATATTTGGTCCTTTTAGTCAAATTTATTATATCCTTGTTCCTGGTTTCTTGATATTCATAACCCTTGATTCATAGTTCCTGGTTCCTGGTTCTAGGTTCCTGGTTTCTTAATATTCATAACCTTTGATTCTTGATTCCTCGTTCCTGGTTCCTGGTTCCTTGTTCCTGGTTTCTTGATATTCATAACCCTTGATTCATAGTTCCTGGTTCCTGGTTCCTGGTTCTTGGTTCCTGGTTTCTTAATATTTATAACCCTTGATTCCTGTTCCTGGTTCCTGGTTCCTTGTTCCTGGTTCCTTAATATTTATAACCCTTGATTCTTGATTCCTAGTTCCTTGTTCCTGGTTTCTTTATATTCATAACCCTTGATTCTTGATTCCTGTTCCTGGTTCCTGGTTCCTGGTTCCTGGTTTTTTAATATTCATAACCCTTGATTCTTGATTCCTAGTTCCTGGTTCCTGGTTTCTTTATATTCATAACCCTTGATTCTTGATTCCTGTTCCTGGTTCCTGGTTCCTGGTTTTATGATCTTGGTTTCTAGGTCCCGTTTTCTTGCTCTTTGTTCCTAGTTCCTGGTTTCCTGTTCTTATTTTCTAGGTCCCGGTTTCCTATTCTTATCTCCTGATTACATGCAGCCTTCTGAACTTTAGAAGTGAATCTTTGTGGAAAGTTCGCTGAGCAAAATATACAGAGCGGAACCTTTCACACACATCAAACACATCAAACACATCAAACACATCAAACACATCAAACACATCAAACACATCAAACAAACACATCAAACACATCAAACATATCAAACACATCAAACATATCAAACATCAAACACATCAAACACATCAAACATATCAAACACATCAAACATATCAAACACATCAAACACATCAAACACATCAAACACATCAAACACATCAAGCACATCAAACACATCAAACATATCAAACACATCAAACACATCAAACATATCAAACATATCAAATAAATCAAACACATCAAACACATCAAACACAGCAAACACATCAAACACATCAAAAACATCAAACACAAAAAAATCAAACAAATCAAACATATCAAACACATCAAAACGTTCCATATATCAAACTAAACACCACGCAAGCACATTATAAGAGAGTTTATTGTAACGCGTGCATTACATACATTGCAGTAACGCATGCATTACATACACTGCATATAACGGTTAAAACAGATGCAAGGTTAAATAAATATAAATAAAATATGATTAAATCAGCTGACTTCCTTATATTAAGTCATTATAGCAAAAAACTCAATGTTATTGTTCTCTCGATAAAAAAAGAAAAATCTAAAAACCACCATTTTGTTTAGTTCTAAATGTTGCCGCTGGTAAGGCTCCTATGCAGTCTAGTGTGGCAGAGGGAGGGATTCCACAGAAAGCAGTAGATGGCAGCACCAGTACTTTCTTCGACCTTAGCACATGCAGTCTTACTGAGGTTGGAATATATTTATATAAATATATAAAGTAGTAATCTCTGTTTGTTTGGATTGAAATTGAATTGATATTTAATTAAAATAAAAAGTCGGTCTCCATTGTATTGATATATACGACTATGGCTGTGTCTATTATTATTATCTATTTTTTACCCTTTTTCGTATTTAATGATAAAGTTTGTTCAATTATTTTGTTTACTTAATTGTACTGCAGAGTACTTTCAAATTAATAATTGGCATGTACAATTAACAATGGTACCAACTTTACATCTTTATCAGAGTTACCACAATAAAGATGTTCGTAGTTCATCTACCTTAAATTTTACAGATATCAATTCTGACATTTTCCCGCATTGTCTCTTCTGTATGAAATATAAATCCGCTAGTCATTTTCGCAAGTTTAACACAATAAAAAGAATCAATTTTCAGTGACAAAACAAGGATAACTTAAATTGAGGTTTCAAGAGTGAATCGAATATGCAACAATCTATTAATGAAGGGTCAGTTAAAATTTTGCCTACAGTCCCATTAAGGTTAATTTTTCCGTCTCTCGTAATGTTTGGCACTGTGTTTGTTTTTGTTATTTCTTGTATTCATTTTTTACGAATACTTTTGCTTAATCATGAGAATAAAATGTGTTGGTTCATATTATAATTGATGACGTCAAACTAAATATAATCTGTAAATAACGCATGACCCCTCTTCTCTATTTTATAATTACTAAACAAGCAATTATTTTTCATTTCCTGCTTATTCTTCTTGTTTCTATATACATTATCATATATTATATAATATAATATAATATGATATATATATATAACGGTGCATTCTTGTTTTTATTCATGATATTATTCTTTAAAAGCTAGATGTAGAATGAATAGTGAAAGATTCTATTAACTAATTAATTTTTTTATGGAAATGTTAAAGAAAAGAAATGATAATATAATAAAATAAAAGATAATCAATGATATTAATAAAACCCAAATTAAATTGATATGAAATAAATAAGATAAAAAATGCATTGAAACTGTGCGGAAAGGAAAAAAATGAAAGAAAGTGAATGCAACAGACTGAAATGTATGAAATTTTGTGAAAATAATTGAAAACAGATAAATAAATGAATAAAAGAATAAATAAATAAATGAATATATGACAGAAGAAAATGGAACAAATAAATAAATGAAGAAAATTATTTATATGTGAATGAATAGTAGAATAGATAAATAAAGGAATAAATAAATAAATGAATAAATAGGTGAATGGGTGTATGAAAAAAATGAATAAATAAATAAATAAATAAATAAATGAATAAATAAATGAATAAATAAATTAATAAAAGGATGAATAAATGAGTGAATGAATATCTAGGTTGAAAAGTCCCCCTGGTGGTACGTGAACTTGTTAGAGCCCTACATGGTCCAGCTGGTCAGGATAGATTTCGGACAGAGCTGTTGCGGTGAGATTTTCTGTTTATATGTTTCTCTGTTTATCGGTTTATCTGTTTACCTATTTGTCTGTTTGTCTGTTTATCTATTTATCCATTTATTTGTTCATCCATCTATCTGTTTATCCATCTATCTGTTTATCCATCTATCTGTTTATCCATCTATCTGTTTATCCATCTATCTGTTTATCCATCTATCTGTTTATCCATCTATCTGTTTATCCATCTATCTGTTTATCCATCTATCTGTTTATCCATCTATCTGTTTATCCATCTATCTGTTTATCCATCTATCTGTTTATCCATCTATCTGTTTATCCATCTATCTGTTTATCCATCTATCTGTTTATCCATCTATCTGTTTATCCATCTATCTGTTTATCCATCTATCTGTTTATCCATCTATCTGTTTATCCATCTATCTGTTTATCCATCTATCTGTTTATCCATCTATCTGTTTATCCATCTATCTGTTTATCCATCTATCTGTTTATCCATCTATCTGTTTATCCATCTATCTGTTTATCCATCTATCTGTTTATCCATCTATCTGTTTATCCATCTATCTGTTTATCCATCTATCTGTTTATCCATCTATCTGTTTATCCATCTATCTGTTTATCCATCTATCTGTTTATCCATCTATCTGTTTNCTTCTATCCTGACTACCAAGCATGCAGATTGTCCCTCCCCCCCACCTTCTTCTTCTGTTCTGACTACCAAGCTTGCAGATTGTTTGCTGTGTATAGCTCCCGTCATGGAGTATTCACTTTTTGTGCCTGCAAGTGTAAAGTGTAGAGTGAAAGGGAAATCTTTTATTTAATTATTTTTCTTCAAGCTTAGATGGTCATTTCTCAGCTTTATGGATGGTAAAAATTCGTCTGTTATCATGTTACCATGTTGTCATTTTACAAAGCTGTCATATTACCATGTTTTCATGTTGTCATGTCATTGTCTTGTTACTAAGTGTTCATGCTACCATGTTGCCAGTTAACCATGTTGTCATGTTACCATGTTGTCATGTTGTTATGTTACCATGTTGTTATGTTACCATGTTGTCATGTTACCATGTATTCATGCCATAATGTTGTCATGTTTAGCTTGTTATCATGTTATACCATGTTACCATTTTGTCATGGTATCATGTTATCATGTTACCATGTATTCATGCTTAATTGTCATGTTACCAGTTGTCGTGTAACCATGTTGTCATGTCATAATGTTGTCATGTTACTAATTATAATTTTTGTTACAGCTAAAGGAAGAAAAGCTACCATTGTTGTGAGGGTTGGTAACAATAGACCAGACCTTGGTGTTAATCCAATTTGTAACAGGTGAACAAAAATATCTTAAAAATAATAATATTTGTAATTATTTAAAAATAAATAACAAAAGTAATGATAATGATAAAAATACTACTTGTATTATTTCTTCCAGGTTTACCGGGTTTATTGAAGAAGGTCGACCCCTGTTTCTCCCCTGCAACCCCCCAATGCCAGGGGCGTTTGTAAGTGTACATTTCGAGGGGCCCCCAGGGGTCTCACTTTCTATTTGTGAAGCTTTTGTGTACACTGATCAAGCACTACCGATTGAAAGATGTCCGACATTCAGGTACATGATCGATGAAACTGACTTTTCTCCTCATTTTAATCCCGAATCCTAGTCCATAATCCATCCATCCATCCGGCCAAACGGCTGGATCAGTTGGGCTGAAATTATTTGAGGGAACCCATGGATGCCCCGGGGTAACAATGGCTAAAAAAATGTCGTCTTTAAAAATTCGATTTTAAAAAATTCAACGGGCAACGCCGTGCCCTTTAGCTAGTAATCCATAATCCTTATCCATAATCCATAATCCTAATCCATAATCCCTGATCCTAATTCTAATCTAATCATTTCGTAGAGATTGCAATAGGTATAATGAACACAATATTTTATCGGGAAATTTCCCTGAGAAAATTATTTTTTAAAAAAGAGATTTTTATATAAAGTGTCTTTCACGGCCCCCAAAATTCTGTATGGAACAGGTGTCTCTGTAGCTAGCAAGCAGGGTTAATCCCTTTTATTTGCTGCGGATATAATTGATTGAAACTTGATCGATAGAAATTGTGTTGCCAGAAAAAAATGCATTTTGCGCCCACCCTTCTGAGTTTCTCGCACCCCGCCCCCTTAATCATGGGTTCCCGGCTTTGCAAACCTTGATTTTTTAAAGTTGCTAGCTCCCTTTTATTGTAATCTGATCCATCCTAATTCTAAAAACAAATTTGTATTTTTTTGTATTTTTGTCTAGGGATCAGAAGCCTGGCAGTACAGCTACGTACAACGGGAAATGTTATATATTCTACGGACAACAACCAAAACAATTTAACGAAGCTAAAGGTACACCTCAAGTAAAACTACAGGGTGTCCCACGAAACATGACAGTTAATAAATAGTATTGAATGTCTTCTTCAATATACTATATAAGATAAGATAAATCAATTTTACTATAATATGACAGACATTTTTATTACTCTGTTTGGCATCAAAGAACTGTATAAATTATGGAAGAAGACATTTAAAACCAGTCACCAACTGTCTTGTTTTGTGGGACAACCTGTAACTTATAAACCAACAAAGTTTATTCTGTCCGTATATCGGAATATTTTCAATCATATTTTGTTCTCCCATTTAAAATCCGTAAAAAAAGCTTTAAAACCATTTTTGCCTAAATATATAAAATATACAAACAAACATATTTAAAAAAGAAACTATGAAAACTCTACATTTAATGGGTAAAAATGGGTTCTAAAGTAAACACTCACTGGATTTTCAAGGAGGACCCCTAAGTTTCTTTATACAATTTTAAGTGGAACCAACCATATTTGAGCCGAGGTTTAAATTTAAGCCGCCACTCAAATTCTATAAATTCGGCCTTAGGTTAGGTTGAAACAGAATTGTCTTATTTTTGAAATAAAAGCAAGTTGTCGTTATTTGAGTTGTAAAATTTACGATCAAGCTAATTCAATTGTTTTATAATAATATCACATATGCAATTACTCTAGTTTCAATTGAGTCTTTTCCACAAACTGTGAGTTTCTAATCTCTAATCTTTGCATGCCAATATGTTAGACCTTAGATATTTCAAACTGTGAATTCTGTTGGAATAAATAATTGAAGTTTAAAATATCAACCGTCACCATCAGGCTGCAAAGATAAAAAAATTGGAGTTTGCAAAAAAGACTCAATTCCTTTAGGGTATTTTGATGATAACTGTTTTTTCTATCAAAACTTTCATTTTCTTCAAGTAAGTTAAAAAATGACATCATGCTGTGACTTCGTGCATTGCATGGATTATGAAGTTCTGAAAACAAAGGAATTGAGTCTTTGCCACAGATTCAAATTTTCTAATTCCTATATCTTTACAACCTGGCTTAGTAAACCTTTGATATTTCAAACTTAGTTTATTTAGTCTAACAGAATTCATTGTTTGAAAAAAGACTCAATTCCTTTATTTCTATAAATTTAATTTTACGATTGGAATTACTTACAAGGGAGTAATCTGTTCTACTAAGTATATTCGGTTTCAAATTAATTTTAAAATTGTAAATGATTGGTTAGAAGCGTACACATCGTGGGTTTCTTCCACTTGACTTTGCACTTTCCTCCATATTTTCACCTTGTCTTGGCCAGTTTTGCACCCCCCCTCCCCTGGAATAATCTTACGTCCCTAGGATTGGTTAACAATTTTAAAGCTTGGTATTACCCGAGTATTTAATTCACTATTCAGATTATATATATACCACTAACTGTATTGAGAGAAAATGATGAATCCAACCCAGCTCTCCAGGGTTTTTTTTATATTGGATTCTGTTTAGAGTTCTGTACTGAGCAGGATGGATCTCTAGTAGATGAATCCAACCCTGCGCTCTAGGGTTTCTTTAATATTGGATTCTGTTTAGAGTTCTGTACTGAGCGTGGAGGATCTCTGGTAGATGAATCCAACCCTGCTCTCAAGGGTTTCTTTAATATTGGATTCTGTTTAGAGTTCTGTACTGCGCAGGATGGATTCCTAGTAGATGAATCCAACCCTGCTATCCAGGGTTTCTTTAATATTGGATTCTGTTTAGAGTTCTGTACTGAGCGTGGAGGATCTCTAGTAGATGAATCTAACCCTGCTCTCCAGGGTTTCTTTAATATTGGATTCTGTTTAGAGTTCTGTACTGAGCAGGATGGATCTCTAGTAGATGAATCCAACCCTGCGCTCTAGGGTTTCTTTAATATTGGATTCTGTTTAGAGTTCTGTACTGAGCGTGGAGGATCTCTAGTAGATGAATCTAACCCTGCGCTCCAGGGTTTCTTTAATATTGGATTCTGTTTAGAGTTCTGTACTGAGCGTGGAGGATCTCTGGTAGATGAATCCAATCCCGCTCTCCAGGGTTTCCTCTCCTGGGAGTTATGGAGAAGACATAGAGGGGATCCTAATGGTCAGTACTGGTTGGGAGCAGAGAGGGATCAGCTGGATTCTAAAAACTGGAAATGGATCTCTGGAAAATCTGTGACGGTTTCGTTCTGGAATTTACCCGGAGGAAACGAGAATTGTGCCAGGTGTGTGCTTTCATTCAGAATAATCCCTTTCTATTTTGATTTTGCAAGAAAATAAACACGTTAAACGTTAAAGTTAAAGGGAGTGTTCGCGAAAAATGAAAGTGGTATAGGCTTACGGCGAAAAATTATTGCTTTTGATTGCTACTAATCTTACTTCTATCTATTGTGTTTGTAAGGAGAAATTGTTAAAAACGACTAAAACTGAAGAACGTTGCGTCCATACAAATTCAGAAAGTTGCAATATACGGCTCGAATCATAAAAAATCAATTTAATTTTTCAACAAATCATTCAGATATTATAGCCTTTAGTCATCGATTATTTTTGGGCGCATTCATTTATAATTAATATTTGATAATATTTTTGATTTGCTTTGTAAAACGCCTAAATAGTTGGCCGCCAGATGCTTTCGATGCAGAGACACCTAGCGGAAAAAAGTCGTTTCATGTGCATTGTATATAAAACAAATATTATGAAATAATAACTATATACGAATGCGTCGAAAAATAATCGATAACTGAATCTGAATGATTTGTTTGAAATTAAATTGAACGATTAACGTTATAATCAGCTGTAAACTCTCAACCCTGTGGTTGTTCATTACTAGAATAAAATCAGTCATAAATCTTTCATTCAAAATTCATTCAAAATAGAGTAAAAAAAACCTGATGTATCTTTCTTTGATATTCATAACACATCCAACCAAAAAAATAATAATGGACAAAAATATTTTTTTTCTGGCTGAAAATTGAATCTTAAGTAAAGGTTCGCAATCGCATACTTTTAAACCAGGATTTACAATTTGTCATTTTTCATCTTACAGTCAGACCCAGAAAACTGTGGAATAGTTTTTTTTGAATAAGATACAGGGTGTCCCACGAAACATGACAGTTGGTAAATAGTTTAGAATGACTTCTTACATAATTTGTTCAGTTGTTTAATACCAAAGACAATAATAACAATATTATATCAAAGTAAAAATAATTTGAAATTAAAATAAAGTTGAGCAAAAGATTTTTTAAACGAAATAAACTGCAAACAGCCTTTAATATCTAATATAGTGTATGGAAGACGAAATTCAAAACTATTTACTAATTGTCATGTGTCGTGGAACACCCTGTAGTTAGAAGTTTCAGAATCAGTATATATGCGTTAATCATTGAAGATTTTCAAATACATCGTTGTACATTTTCCCCCACACAATAAAGAAAGAAAAGTAATCTAACTTATATATTTAATTATTTGGAGAATGGAGAATGAGTTAACAAAAAAAAGTTGTCCATGATTAAGTTTCTTTTTTTCCTGAATCATTCTCTTGAGGGCATGTACAACTTTGAAAACTTTGCTTGTGTATATTGTGTATATAACATATGGATAGGAAATGTAAAGAATTTTCAGTTTTTTATGATAATGGTTTAGATGAGATGAAAGTTTTAGTTTTTTTTTTCTTAAATTATAAAACAATTTGTTTTTAAACTTTAAAGAAAGATTTTATTCAATTTTTCTATTTTCCTCGGGGGTCAGGTTTCTACAATTCTTTTTCCCAGTTTATAAAATTTCTTCAACTTATTTCTGTCATGTTGAATCCATCTGCTGCCCTTGGCTCAAAACACATGTTGGATTTAATACTTTAATTGTAAATACGCTTTAGAACTTAATATTCTGACAGCTGGGTATATACACTACATATATACATATATATATACTCATTTAGTTATTATACTTTCCCTTTCCTTCAGTTCACTTCCCTTCAATCAACAATTCTTTTTTGAATTTTCTTTCCGCCCTTCGCAGTATTCTTTTATCTTAGTATATCTAATTTTATAGTCCCAATATTTTTGAAACATGATGAAGCAAATCTTTGATATTTTAAACTTTCTTTCCAGGTAAATTCATAATTTAAAATATCAAAGGTTAACAACATCAGGCTGAAAATATATTTGGATTAAATAATTAGAGTTTGTGATAAGTGCTCAGTTTCTTTGATGCATTCTTCTTGAATATCTACTATCTATCTATCTAGGTTTGATGGAACTAAAGGCTGGTTATGGTCTGATACTAAATGTGATCAGAACCTGAACTATATCTGCCAACACAGTGAGTATAATTCTTATTCGTTTAATAAGTCGGAAAGTATTTGAACCATGCCAAGAAATTTTACTACACAGCATGATTCTGCACTCTGCAAGATTGGTTCAGTTTTCTAAAAATTCAAGAGTAAAAGAAAAGTAAAATATTGTTTAAAATGAGCTTAAATATAACAGGATGAGACTGTAAAGACGATCCAAAACTCTAAAAATATGACGATTTGAAGCTTGATTTTTGGTTTCCGCTCTCAATTGATTATTTTGATGGTTTACTAAATGATTAAGCACAGAAATAAGCCTTTTTTGACCTTCAATGAACCATGAATGCAAGGAAATGGACTAAATATAATCCATACAGTCGTCTCTGAAATCTCATCCCTTGTGGGTAACCCTGTATATGTACACTGTACTGCAGGCTGAGCTTCTCAGGCTACATTTGTTGCATAAAAACGTTCTGGGTCCCTCTTGCAGAAAAATCACAATAAATATAAGTAAAAAACGTTAAACATGGAGATCTCTTGATCATTATTATTTAAATGTACTTGATTTGTTGTTATCAAACATGATGATGAATTATTAGTGTTTTAATAAAGCAAAACACATGTGAAAAATAATTCGAAAAATCACATTGTCTTGTTAACACTTAATGTGAGGTTTGAGAAAAGTATAATTAGATATTGCAAAAAAATGTGAAACCTTTACACTAAATGACAGTTCGTTAACTATCTTTGAGAAATTGTTGTCAACATAAAATCTTTGCTTTTTCTTTTAAGGAATTGAGTCTTCGCCATAAAAATTAATTTTTTAATCCCCATATCTTTGCAACGCAATATCGTAGACCTTAGATATTTCAAATTATGTTTGCAAAAATATAGGGATTAGATTAAGATTAAGTTTGTGGCAAAGACTCAATTCCATAATTTTTTTCTTTTATAAGTTGTATTTTATGTTTCAAAAAGTTTTTTTCGGGATGAAAATTGTATAATAAACAATTTATGATTAATAATATTCGAATATTTATTTTGTTTTCAACTTTCTCTTTATTTTCACTCTTGTTTTAAAGTGGTGTATTCTGTAAACCATATGGTCTAGAAATTTTGATGTTGGATCCCGGATTGAGTATGTTTGTGACGAGGGTCACCTGCTCGTTGGACCGGCTCGGCGTAGCTGCCTAGCAACAGGATTCTACTCAGAGTTTCCACCAGTTTGTAGATGTAGGACATTTTTACTTAAAGGGACTGTCGACATAATTTCAAGTTACATCGTAATTAAAGAGGGACATACCCGAATCACTACGGTACCTTTGGAATCTTTGTCCTAGCTAAAACTATGCAAGTTTCGTCATTTTTCTATTCAAAATTTCTTCTTCTTAACAACTTTATTCAATATAAAACGATCAGCAATAGTATTCTCATTTGTAGAATTATATAGAGAAAAATTGTCTCATTTTATCTTCGTACCTATTGCAGTAATGAGCTGCTTTTCGCAGAGCTCTCCATTGATAAAGGTTTATTCAAAAACTTCATTGAATAATTTTGCAAGCTATTTATTTTTGTGGGTTTTCTTTATAAGTGATTGGCGAATTTATGCATCAGAGACAAAAACCATAATTTACAGAATTTAACACTTTATAAAATGGAAAAGGAAAGTATCTCCTTATTATACAATACTCAGACAAAGATTAAAATAATACTGGAGTGGACCGGGAAGGGGTTCTTTAAATGAATGATCACTTAAAATTGCCTTTCCATTTGGTCCATTGCAAGTCCATTGCATGTTTTCTTATTATGAAGGGGG